TATTATTATTATTATTATTATTATTATTATTATTATTATTATTATTATTATTATTATTATTATTATTATTATTATTATTATTATTATTATTATTATTATTATTATTATTATTATTATTATTATTATTATTATTATTATTATTATTATTATTATTATTATTATTATTATTATTATTATTATTATTATTATTATTATTATTATTATTATTATTATTATTATTATTATTATTATTATTATTCCTGTCCTGACTGGCAAAAATACTCACAACTTCTCCCCGCTATCTGCAGAGTAAGAAATTATGAGTTCCGATTCTCGTGAGTTCTGAGCAACCTGAGTGAGCCCAGGATGAGAGCCTTCTGCATTTCGGCGGCTATGTTTTCGGGTCTATTATGGCACGCCACCATTAATCTTAAATTAGGAACCAGATTATTTGTGATACCACCCAAGCAGCCAATTACCAACACGACAATTTTTACTGAAAGCTCTGGGTACAGTCTGTGGAGGTCGAATAACAAAGGTTGATATTTTGTCTTTTTTTCCTCTTCCTTGATGTTTATGTTGGACTCTGCTGGTGCCGAAAACTCAATTACGCTCATGGTTTTTAGTTGGTGATCAATAAGCACCATATCGGGCTTGTTAGCCTGAATTCGATGGAGGGTTGGGAACGGGTAATTCCAATATATCCTGGCTCTTTCATTTTCGACAACAGACTCCATATCCATTTGAGCGTATGGTAGTAGCGGTGCCTCATCTATACCGTAGAAGTGCCTCAGGTGATAGTATAGCACTTTTAAAGCCGCATCATGGCGATGGATATAATTAGTGCTAGCATAGGTCTGGCAAGCTGATAGAAGGTGCATAACAATTTCGGGTGCTCTATGACAAGCTCTGCAACTTACGTCTATCAAATTTATACCCATCACTTCTCTACGATATACTAAAGTGTTATAAACACCATCTTGCACCGCCACAATAAATCCTTCCGTTTCGGACTTAAGTCCACTAGACCTTAAGAAAGCAAAGGTTAGTTTCTTGGACAGCCCGCGATCCTCAATGTTCTTGTAGAAGATGCTATGCATGGGCTTATCCATATGAATGCGAAGGTTAGTGTCACATTCAGCTTTCTTTATATGGGACTTAAGTCGAGTAGGTTCAAGCTCTGTTATGGAGTTTCGATTTGCTCGTCCTGGATCAAAAGCGAGTCCTAGATGTTCAGAAGCTCGACGAGCTGCTCTAAATAGAAATGATCATTTTTATTATTATTATTATTATTATTATTATTATTTTTATTATTATTATTATTATTTATTATTATTATTATTATTATTATTATTATTATTATTATTATTATTATTATTATTATTATTATTATTATTATTATTATTATTATTATTATTATTATTATTATTATTATTATTATTATTATTATTATTATTATTATTATTATTATTATTATTATTATTATTATTATTTGTTTTGGTATCACTATCTTTAGGATAGGCTGTTGATGCAAGTATCGGCCGGGGCAAGATACTTGTATTTGGTTCATACAAATACATTTAAAAATGAGCGCACTATTGATGTAGTGGATAGTATTACTGCTTTTTGGATTGGTGTTATTTTGTCGGCAATTCCTAAAATCCTTAAATTGTTAGTTAGTGACTTGGGTACTACGCCGGTTGATGATATTATCAGTGGGACTACAGATACACTCTCCTGGCGCCACATTTGTTGGATTTCCTGCCCAAGTCTCTGTTATTTTGTTTCTTTCTCCGCGTAATAGGTTTGGATGTTATGATTGTTTGGGATTCCCACGTCGATCAGTACAACTTTGTTTTCACTTTTATCGGCGATGATAATGTCAGGCCTATTGTGGACCACTGTGTGGTCTGTTAGTACTGATCTATCCCAATACAATTTGTGTGTATTGTTTTCCAAGACAGGACACGGCTCGTATTGGTAATATGGTTTTTCTTCGCTCAGGAGGCTATACTTCAGCGCCAGGGTTTGATGAATAATCTTAGCTACCTGATTGTGCCTCGACAGATATTCTATCGGTACCAAGATAGGGCAAGCGCTTGTTATATGCTGGATGGTCTCGGGATGTTGGTGACACTTTCTGCATAAGTCATCCTCTATTTCAGCTCTTATTATATATTTACGATAGTTTTTGGTAGCTATGACCTGGTCTTGGATGGCTATCATAAATCCCTCCGTCTCTGCAAATATGTCAGCTCGTCCCAACCACCCATTTGATGCCTTAGTGTCGATATAAGGCTGGTTGAGGATATTTGCATGTCGGCCATGAAGGGGTTTTGAGGCCGAGTCCTTTTTTTTTCCCTTGAATATAGGTTTCATCCGAGCCTACTTCTATGCTGTCGTGCAGCAGGTCTAAGGGTGTGTATTTATTGTCCGACTTTTTTACTGCTTGGTAGAGGGCGGTGTCCTGTCTATGGAAATATTTTTGAAGTCCCTTCGTCTGCTTGTGACACAGCCTACTGATGTCAACCATACCGCGACCTCCTTCATAGCGGGGAAGGGTTAACCGTTCAAGTGCCGATTTAGGGTGATGTATTCTATGCTTTGTCATTAGTTTACGCGTGGTTCTTTCAATGTCTCCTATATCAGTTTCTGTCCACTTAATCACTCCAAAAGTATAGGTCAGAACTGGAATAGCAAACGTGTTTATGGCCTTGACTACATTCTTCCCGTTTAAGGAGGATTTAAGGATATCACTCAATCTTTTCAAGTATATTTCCGTTACTCGGTGTCGGATCTCCTTATGTTTTACTCGCTTAGATTGTTGAAGACCTAGATATTTATATGCATCACCTTCCTCCATTGCAGCAATAGAGCCTTCATTTACTAGATCAAATTCACGGAGCATCACCTGGCCCTTCTCGATACTAAGTCTTTTACACTTGTCCAGCCCAAAGGACATCCGAATATCATTGGAGAACCTTTCTGTTAATTTGAGCAAATGTGATATGTGGTTCTCAGTGGATCCGTAAAGCTTAATATCGTCCATGTATAGCAGATGGCTAAGCCTAAACTGTACTGCATTTTCCCCCTTGATTAGAAAACCGTACCTAGTGCTATTGAGTAGAGCAGACAGCGGGTTTAATGCTAGACAAAACCATAAGGGACTAAGGCTATCTCCTTGGAAAATGCCTCTTTTGATAGGGATAAGCTGAGACTGTATAGTGCCCTCGCTGTGGAAAAGATATAGAGTGGTTTTCCACATTGACATCATGTGTTTGAGTGCTTCTACTATAATTGGTGTTACTTTATATAGTTCTAACACTCGGACAAGCCACGAATGCGGGACACTATCAAAAGCCTTTTGATAGTCAATAAAAGCTGTATATATGTTTCTCTGCTTATGATAGGCCTGCTCCATTACCACTGCATTAATGATGAGTTGCTCTTTGCACCCCTGGGAGTTCTTAATACACCCTTTTTGTTCTGTGGCCAACAAAGAGTTTTGGTTTAGATGCTGGTAGATTTTATCTGCAATACAAGCAGTCATTACTTTGTATAGAGTACAAAGACAAGTAATGGGTCGATATTTAGAGGGGTCTTGGGTATTGCTTTCATCTTTGGGAAGAAGGATAGTTTTGCCTCTCGTAAAATACAAGGGAATTCGGTGTGGGGTATAAAGAAATATTGCAAAATATGTTGCTAAATATGAATGGGTACAACTGAACCTCTTTAACCAAAAGTTGTGAATACCGTCAGGGCCTGCAGATTTCCAGTTTTGGGTTTTGTTCACTGCCAAAGTGACATCCCGAGCTGATAATTCTACGTTCTCCATACCAGGTACTTCAGAAACTCTTTCTGCTTCAGACGTTATCCATGCTGCATTTTTTTCATGTTCAGTTTCGTTTGTCCATATTTCGCTCCAAAA